TGCTCAGGCTGGGATGGCTTGAAGCTTCAGCTCCAGCTGACACAAACTGGCCAGGGAGCTCCTGGGCTTGCTTAAGGACTGAGTGTGTCCCTCATTTCCCTGCATCTGAAGCAGAACAGTCTGTAATTTGGGAAGGCTATGGCAGCTGTTGCTGGAAGAAGTGGCTGCTGGCATGAAGTTCTGGAGCAGTAATTAAACKCCCTAAGGAACCACAAAAGTAGCACAAAATGTAAGAATCAAAGCAGGAAAAATACAGGGATGGGAACAAACCCATTCTGAGTTTGGTGAGAAACCTAAGTAAACTTTAAAGCCTAGGGATTAAGGGTTAACTGGCTTCTGTTCCTAGTAAGAGGAAAATTCTATTGTGTTCAGCTTAGTGGCATAAAGTACAAAAAAATGTTTTGGCTGTAACTCCAGAGACAAATGAATTACTGGTTTTTGTTGAAATGCAAGAAGAGATGCTTCTTGCGAGTACTAGTGAGAAATAATGGGGGCAAATACCTCAGATTAAAGCAAAGCAGGTATTAGGTCCCTCAGGTTTCTCCCTGTTTCTCTGGAAGTACAAGACATGGTTAAATCTGCTTTTARATCCTGCAAATGGCCTCTGTCACTGGTACAACAGTATAAATGCTAGCAATGAACTTGGAAGCCTGGAAGGATGGAAAGGACTAACTCCATCCAGGGTGAGAATGGGTTTGGCCAAAAGTTTTGAAGTACTTCCATTGTGACTTGACCTCTTTGAAAAAATCTCAGAACTCGCCTGCTGGCTCTCTTCATTTTACTTTKTGTCTCCTCTATAACACTAACAACATTATTTTTAATTAAATATAATAAAAATCTTAACAATCAGCAATTAATACAGTAATAAATGGGTAATGAGTCACAAGACTATGTCCTATTGTCTTTTGAAAAAGCAGGAGTTGTTAGTGCAAGGGCTGCTGAGCACATCCTGGTTAAGCAGRGGTTTGTGAAGTTCAAACTCCCCCTTCTGAGGTTGAATTAAGGTCATTATAACCAGTTTATATTGKTGCCTCAAGAAGTCACAGGGAGAAATTGATTTCCTAATGTGCTTCTAGCTAGAAAATTGCTGTTTTAGTCTTTCTGGTCTTGCTGATCTATTCTTCAGGAAAACAGCAAGAAATTRCACACATCTAACATCAGCTCTTGAGCTTGTATACCAACAGTGAAAGAGATCATCGAAGGAAGCTCGGGAGCTGCACAGCCACAAGCTCCTGTGATCTGACCCCAGCTGGCAACAAAGCCCCACACAGCCACTCACTCACTCACTYCTCCCACAGAGGGRTGGGRGAGAGAACCAGAAGAATAAAACTGAGAAAACTSATAGCTTGAGATAAGGACAGTTTAAGAGGCAAAGCAAAATCTTCACGTTAGCAAAGCAACCCGAAGAACTCAGTCACCCTTTCCCAGGAGCCCACAGGTGTTCGGCGATCTCCGGAAAAGCCAGGATCCATCAWGTCTAACAGTCCCTTGGGAAGGGGAACACCATCACTCCAAATGTCATTTCCTTCCTTTCTTCTTCCCCCACTTCTATAGGCTGAGCAGGATGCCATATGTTATGGAATATGCCTGTGGTCAGTTGGGGTCAGCTGTCSTGGCTGTGTCCCCTCCTGAGCCCTTGTGCACCCCCAGCCCCCTCGCTGGGTGAGAAGCTGAAAAGGCCTCGAGGTTGTATGAGCACTACTCTGCTGTAACTAAAGCACCCCTGAATTACCAACCCTGAGTTTAGCACTAATCCAAAACACAGCCCCATCCAAACTGTGTGAAGAGAATTAACTCTRCCCCATCAAAATRTTCAACCCAATTGTTTTGATGYTCAGAAGCAACAGCTGCTGGCATTTTCTCCTTTCAACCTTTTTGGTTTCCTGCTTTTTGCTTTTCATTTACAGAAAGCTTMGTTGCTAGGGATGTTTGCTCACTACATTTCTGAAAAACAGAGAATCTGAGGGTTTTTACTTAAGTCTGGAGTGAATGTTTTGTTAAACTGCTTCTCCAGATAATGATAGCTATTTTTAAATGGTCTAGGCTTTTTTTTTTTTTTTTTTTTTTTTTTTTTTTTTTTTTTTTTTTTTTTTTTTTTTTTTTTTTTTTTTTTTTTTCTGAAAGTTAATTTCTTCTGTAGGCAATC